TAGGTGAGTACCCCATGAAATTGGGGCTTAAAATCTTTTCACCATGTGACTCTAGAAGTTGTTCCTTCTGCCCAACGTATCACCTTGTGGGGAATGAAAGGAGGCAGGGGTCTGCAAAAGTGATACATTCTATGTTTTTTCCACTCTACAAATTTAGAACGTTTGGAATTTCTATTGTTTTAGAGATCTTTATTTTATTCAAAGGAAGAAAGCAGACTATGGTGTTAGAAGAGATCTACCCAGGTAGACACAAAGTCTCCTGGCCAAACACAATGCCTGCAAGAATTTCATGTTTCTAATGATGAAGAACTCCTTTTTAAAAGCCATCTCTGGATTAAGAAAATTATGTGTGGAAGTACAAAAACTGGCCCTGTTGTAGTATTAGCAAAAATTAGGTCTCCACTGATGATGACTTTTTAAAATTATCTTACCTATATTTGTATAACATTGTTATTTATTTGTAAGCAAATAGCAAGCAGGGAACATAATCTGCCCTTCCGTGTTTACATGGGAACAAGGCTGTCCTTCAAATTGATGTACAACATTGTCCACACACACACACAGAAGACCAGCAGGATTCTTGGTTGGTAATCTATCCTGCACAGTTTGGCTCGTCTGACTTTTTAACAAGAGGTCTATACACCTGAAAGTCTCACATGTTCCATAGCAAATCATCAGTCTAAAAGCTTGAGTCTGAAAGAATGCTTGGTTTAGCATATCAGAAACATAATCAGAAACATTTTAATAAATTCCTTCTTGGTTTTTGAGGCAACAGAGTATGATGGGGAAAAAAAAGTATAAGTCACAAATTAAATATATTTTGTTTGCTTTTTAAATGACACCATTCATTTTTTGTTTTCGCATAAGATAACAGAACTATTCCATTTCCTTTACTTTGTTTTGAAGATCTCTTAAAGTCACATGTAACATATTTGCCTATTAAAAGCTACAAGGTGGTATTTACAAAACAAACTCAAAATAAAGAAGAAAATTCTCCTTGCACTTAATACATTTAGAAAGTAATAAAGGAATAAGAGAATGAGAAAAAAATTTAATTGTGGCGCTTTAAAGCAAGTTTTCACAATTGGAACCACATATGCCTACTTTCAGCTAAACTCAACAAATAACAATTTTAAATGGCAAACTTAAATGTGTGTGTTTTTTTTTTTTTTTTTACTAGGCAAAATCCAATCTAAATTTTCATAGCCTGAATTTTATTTTGTTACACAGACTTTACGGTTAGTTTCCTAACGATTTATTTAATAATATTAAAATCATTTAACATCCGATAACGTAACTAAATCTACATCTTACAACATTATCGTGGTTCTGTCCGGTTTATATACATGCTTTCATAATCACCTTTTTCCATTACCTTATTTATGATTACATATACTAGTTAAATAACCAATACTTACAGATGGATGAATAATTTAAATTTTTAAATAAAGGTTAGATAGTTCTAAAAACAAAACACTCCAAACTTGTATTTACATCCTTCCCTGCCATGCTGAAACTATGTAAGTTTTCCTTTCAAAATTGATACTTCAGGAAGTACATTGATCATCCCCCAGTTTAACATCTAGCAGCAGAGCCTCACAATGTTTTTACTCTTTCCTTAGCATTGGAAATACACTCCATTCTTGTGCCATGTCCTTCCTTCAGAAGGTGTCAGCACACACATCAATTATAACACTTAGAAGAACACTATTTCCTCCCACAAGTCAGAGTTACTCAGTCTTTCTTTCTGAACTTTAAAGAAAGTCTTTTGTTTTTAGTGCATTTTAAGGGAATTTAAATTTTGCATTCTTTGTCATGCCATTTCAAGAATGTCTCTGGAGAAAGAATCCTACCCTACTCTATGCTGCTAAGGCTACTCAAAAAACCAAGAGTTTATGTTTTTCAAGCTTACATCCTAGAATCTGCATATTTCCATGCCATGGATGTCTGCATTCTGATATTGCAAAGCACTTTGCAAGCTTCAACCGGCATTTTCAAATTTTACTTTACTGGATAAAAATAAAATTATTGTCTAGAGCAAAGGCAACTTTTTTTTTTTTTTTTTTTTTTTGGTTTTTTGAGACAGGGTCTCACTATGTAGTTGAGACTGACCTGGAACTCACTATGTAGCCCAGGCTGGTCTTGAACTCACAGCGATCCTCCTGCACTCAGCCTCCTGAGTGCTGGGATTACAGGCACGCGCCACCACGCCCAGCTAAGGAAATTTTTTTCTTTCTCTTAGACATTCTCAAATGTGTTTCTGGGCACAAAATTAAAACAAAGGAGAAAATTTCAAACAACTGAAATCAAGAATATACTACAAAAATAATTAAAACGGAATGACCAAGTAGGGCTACTGAGAAGCACTTTAGAACATTTTAAATTATACTTGCATTAATCTCTAAGCTTTAGAGGAAGATCACCTGATGTAGAAGTCCTGTTTTTAGAGGAAGAAGGCTACATCCATTACATATATGTCTATTACATCAATAGTTAAAATAGTATTTTTTTTCCTTCACCAGATTAAGTGACTCTGATTTCTAACACCAGTAGAAGCCATATGAATATTATAAGTGAAAAGACAAAGTCAAATGTGAGTATCCAAAAAGGTGTGGTCACTGATAATTTGAGACAGATTTATGTAATCTAGAATGAGAGACTTATATTCAATTCTTCATAAGTAGTGATATTAGGTCTCCTTTTCCTAGAGAGACTCCTCCAAATGAATGGGAGAGCTGTAAGATATTAGGTTGTGTATTAGGTGGTGGTCTCCATTCTGAGTCTTTATCCCTGGGAAGTTAGTGAATGAACTTCTACAGAAGAGATCTCACAAACTCCTCTCCTCCTTCATTCATTCTTTCAGTTTGTTGCACTTCTCATAGCACAGGAACAGACCAATTGTTACATCCAAGGTTGTTGGCCAAAGATCATCATATGGTGTTGAGTTAAAAGAAGTAAAATTGCAAGATGGATGGGCCAACTAGCCAATGATATAATGTTCTACTGAATTGTTTGTGGTTGGATGACAACATTGCAACTATTTCATTTGTCCACTTCAATAATTTAAAAGATGTTTAATTCATTTCTCAAATAGTTTGCAGGATATGTTTTACTACAAACCTGAAACTGTAAAATTACTCATAAAATAGTCCATGGAATCTAATTTCTTGAACTCATGGAGAAATTAAAATGTTATTCTAAATAAGCCTCCTAGACTAAAATTTTGAAGTAAGGGATGGATATTGCACTCATTTGGCTATTCTTCCTTTAACACAATGTTTTTAGTAGACTCTAGATAAATACCAGTCAGATAACTTGGGTTTGGGTTGGTGGATAGATTTATGTTTTTCAAACTAGTTATAAACATAGATTTCCTTTTTTTTCACTTTAAACTCTCTCTTAGTTACTAATATTTTTTATTGCAACTGGTTCCCTTGAAGTTACTGATAATTACTTGCTCCCAATGCTTTAACATTAGAAAGAAAACATCTTTCAAAAATTTAAATGACTTGAAGTAGAATTTTGTGGAAAAGAGAGATGTGTGTATTCAATTTTTCTAATTACTAACATGAGGCCCTGTTTTTCTGGAGACTCAATTCTTATCACTAATCTTAACTCAGAAGATACTCTTTTAGAATAAAACAGAATAAAGATGGTCTGGAACTATGATGTAGTATGTGAAGAAATAGATTTATGACAAGGTATCAAAAGATTATTTTTGGATAATAAAATTATTGCATGAGATGGTTTTTCATATTTACACATTCTGATTCAAGAACCTACCCATAAACTGTGAATGTTTCTTTTTATTTTTATTACACCAATTTATATGTGAAGAGTTGCCTTCTACTCAATATAAAGTCTCACACTAGAAATTCCGTAGAATTCAAGCCAATCCTTAACTTGCGTTTCTTCATATGAAGCATAGAAACTGAACAAATTTCTTTATGTAGCAAATGTGATCTCACATGTAGATAACATGCTGGTTCTCTCACCGTAATCCCTGGATACTGTTCCAAAGTCCTAATTGGGCTGTCATTTTCACAGTCTGTCTTTATCTCATTCTTTAAAAAATGTATTTAAATTAGTTAATTTGCTGGTTGCTTCTATATTGCTTCATTAAAAATCCAAAATGGAGTCCAGGAAAAAAAATAAAATTATAGCTTAAGTGCAAACTATATTTCTGAGTGCCTGCTAGGCAGACATACCCAATCCAGTGTATTTCTTTCAGATTGTGGATTTCCCCAGTTGACCACCCCTGAAAGTGTCAGTAGTGTTCTTAAACCACACAGAATTATCTCCTAGTTTCCCTTCTACTCTTAAAATTGCCAACTGCCCATCAACTACTGTCATTTACTGAAAGGAAGAAAATATTAAAGAACATAAAAGATTAGGGGACCATGTATTCAATAGTGTGAACATGAAAGACTTGATGCTGCATTTGACTAGAATCTTGGCCTTCCCTTCTAATTTTAAAGACTCTCTCTAAAATGGTGGCTTCTTCATTATATTAATTTTTGAAATTTAAATTGTGTCAAGAAGCTTTGATGTAAATATCTTCACAATTAGAAATAAAAGCCAAAAATAGAGGAAAATTTAATATAAAAGAATATGCCAAAGCAAAACAAAAATTAAACAGCAAAAAGCCTTCCAAAAATAATCACAAGATATAAATTTGATGGTGATTTAAAAATTATAAAAGCTTGGTTAGCCATTTTTACTTGCCAGGATAGAAAACGTAGGAGAAAGAAATGAGATTCTCAAAATCGGTCACTATCACCTTATTGAAATGGTTATTTTTTTGTTCTAATAGAAACTTAAGATTTCCAGGGACACTGAATATGTATACATCAATGACTACAGGTAAGAACAAATAACATGGGTATTTCATCCATCTGTATTTAAAAGTAAGCAAAGGCAGGAAGGCAGGAAGCCAGGAAGGTAGGAAGGCAGGACAGAAGGATAGCAGGAAGGAAGAAAGCCAGAAAGGAAGCCGGGAAGGAAAGAAGGAAAAAAGGAAGTAGGAAAGAACTAAGGGAGGAAGAAAGCAAGGAAGAAAGGGACAAAGGTAGATTGGTTGGCTGAAAACTATTTGACAGTAGGCAGTATTATCTGGTATTTTCTGGTCCCTCTCTAGCTGTTCCAGTCTCCTGAGCAACCCATACAGAGAAATGGAGAAACAGTGCGGTTCCTCCTGTCTTTCTCTTTCTGTCCTTCCTTCTAATGTTCAAGTTAGATAAGCACACAATTATCATTGCAAGTCTATGTCTTCCACTAGGAAGTGTCAAAACTACTGGCCTTGGGGGCAGAAGGAAGATCACCAGAGAAAGAGAGGGGGCGGGGAAATGGAGTGGGTGTGTCTTTCCACCTCGAACTACTGCTGAGTTTACACCACAGTATTCCGGTGTCTGTAGGGTGGAGGAGGCAGCACAGTGCCTGGCTTCAGTGAGAACTCAGAGAGGTATTCAGGATTCTCTGCCACAATAGGCCGGATCCGCCCATTCTGTTTATAAAAATATTTTGTGCTGTACTCCTGCAGGTAGTCTGGGTGCTGGAGGGTGCTCCGAGGTGGCAGGCTGTGGTTCCAGTAGTCAGGGTTGTCAAATGCTTTTTTGGCCTTCTCTGGCACAGACAGTACGTTGTTCTTCAGATACTCAGCATTCCCCAAGGCATTGGCAAAGGTGTTGAGGTACAGTGGCTCATTCACGTACTCATCCTCTGCCTTGGGTGGACCACTGGAAGCATTGTGATACTCGGGATTATCCAAAGCTTGAAGGTCTCCATTTTTTCTCCGAGACACAAAAGGGTTCTCCTCCACAGGATTCAGGTATTCTGAAGGAGTAAAAATAATCAGACATCATCTACTTTTGGAAAAATGGTAATCAGACGGAGGGTATATGCAATGGTTGGTTTGTCTAGAACTAGAAAGGCCCAGATTTGTTTTCATGAATTCTCAGCAAAAATGCCTTGTAGACTATCACTGCCGCATGATTAATTGGCAAGTGGGCCAAGAATATTGATGATAAAACAAGACACAGACAAGGTCAAGATCTGAATTCTCATTCTCTTGATTGCTGTTCTTTTCTTCTTATCACATCTGTTGGCCCTACAAGGGGTCAGTTGTGTAAATGCTTTTTGTTTTTCAAGTCAGTAATTTATATTAGAAATTAAGACTACCAGGGTTAAATATCCTTTCCATGCACATGAATCTGAACTTTTACAAAGACTTTTGAAAAATCCAAGGGTATATGGCTTACTCCTCTAGCAAGAAAACTGAATAAAGAATAGTGTTTCTAATCTATTTGACTTGCCTTGAAGGCTTGTACCACTGGTAACAGGGATTTTATTGAAACACTCCCCGGGAAGCTTTTACACAAAAGAAAAGCATCATCTAAGGGAAAAAAATCAACTCGTAGAAAAAATCTGATCAAAATTTGTAGGTCTGTAGTTGAGGTGCATGCTGTTACATATGCACTTGCTTAACAATAAAGCATCATTATAACATTTATTCTCAATGTCCAGTCATAATGACAAAAGAGAAAACCATTAGTTTGAATTGTATAAATAGTTACTTTGTAAGTTAGAACAAATTAGTGCCTACTTTGTATGGTTCAATCTAACAAACACATTGGGTGTACAGGTATTAGACTGAGATAAAAAATAGTGCTAGTAACCAGTGCTGCTCATCTCAGATTTAATTCCATCTCCATGTCTGTAGCATAGACCAAAGAAGACACATATTAGACTCTCTCTTTGTCCTCCTTTTCATTATATACATGAACAGCTGTGCTATTCCCATTTTGGTGTCAGGGCACTCAGAGGGCACCATTATTTTTTCAAATACTACCACTCTGAAATAAATTTTGTACCCTATTCTTAGCCCAACGTGCAGACAGAGAAATCCCATCAGAGTTATTTTTCCCTCACTATAGATAAACTGAATATAGTTGAGCATGTAGCATTTTTTTGTGTATGTAAGCGCAAAGGTAATCATTAATATTCTACCTTTATACAGTTCAATAATTCACAAGACACTATTATTTTGTTTTCAGAATAATCATGAAGGAGAAGGGACAAGTCTTTTTCCTGCTTCATACTAGAATTCAAGTTCGTAATTTCTATTACATAATCTTTTTGTTCCTCTACTCTGTTTTTTATTGCTGTCGCTACAGAAGTAGGGTAAATTTTATAGTTAATAGTAGATTTTAATTTGATTTTTTAAAAATAATCTAAAAGAACTTACAAGGGAGACATAATATAATTTTTTTTACCAGATTCCTGAAACAAATTGAAATGTAGGTATGTCTGTCCTAAAATTCTATACTCCAAGGACAAGTCTAGATCATAATAACTCTAGGAATTTAGTTCTCCGTTTTCAGAGATAAAATCTGAGAATACAGTGTGCCTATGTGGACTGATTTGTTTTTCTCTTAGAAGTCTTATTTTACCTCTTCTCAATGCTGACAATTCCCACTCTTATATCACCTATTTTGTTTTCTAGATGTGGTCACGCAAAGTTGCTAAGGCTGGCATAGAACTCTTGATCCTTTTGCTCTAGCCTTCTAATTAGATGAGATTACAGGTGTGGACCACCCTGCCCAGCTTTGTAACTGCCATTCTCTACTCCGCCCCTGCAGTGAACATTTCTGAACATCTGGCTTGTACCTTGTTTGGGTTTGTCTCGCATAGGAGTCATGTAGCCTTCTTCATCCAGTTCTCCTCTTGGACTCCGTTCAGGGACAAACACTGTGGGGTCAGCGCTGTACCTCTGGGTGCTGCTGTCCTCTTGGGCATGGGGTGCCACTGGCTTGCGTAAGGTGCCATTACAGCAGGAGTCATCAAAAATCTCAGCGGCAGCACCTTGAGCAACTGGAGCTTCTGGGATGGTGCTGGTCGTGGCTCTGTATGGCATGGGCAGGCCTTGTTCCGCAGCGAATCCCCCGTCTCGGTATACAAACTGGTTCTGTGAATAGCGGAAACATATTTGGAAAGAAGTTCTTGTTAGGAATAACAGTATTCCTGAAGCCATATTCCTTAGCTATTAATTAAAAAGATATTACATTTTGCCTTTCCGAGAAAAAAAAATCATAGTACTGTATTTATTGATTTTTTTTTTCCTACTGGCTAATGAAATTGAGTTAGATTAGAAACATTTAAAATTATATTTTTGGAACATAAAACAACCTAAATACATGTTTTAAATTTTTCGTTAACTAAGTAAAATATGATCTAGTAAAAAGTATTTTATATTCTTTTCCCACAATGATCTATTTTGTATATAAAATTCCAAGTAAGTTTTCATGATAAATGGCATTAAGAGTGGAAGTGCACTGACACATGATGCATGGTGCTATTTCCTTATGGACTTCTATTCTGTAGTTTCTATGACTTGAGCCTCCAGTACCTAACTGCAGAATCATTAGTGAGATTTTGAGTTTTTATCATGGCCTATAATATTTGAAGTAAAGATAACCTCCTCACTCCAAAGCATAATTTATGAGCCCAGGCAAATCCTTCAGATAAAAATTGAAAGCCACTCTTGCACGATTTCTCAGCTTTGGATTATCCACTGAGATAAAAGACATCTACAAAGGCAGCTACCCAACCTGCAGCAAATTCTTAACTCACTGTTGGCAAAAGTAAAATGTAGAACTTATGAGGAGACAAGACAGAAGAAACATGGTAAGCAAAGACCAAAAATCTACAAGATGAAGGTTGATTGTGAAATACTTACTCCTGACATGGGGGTGTAGGCAGGAGGAGGGCTGTGTCCAATTTCGCTCTAATAGAAAAGAAAAATGGCATGATGGATATAATAAGAGGCAACATGAATGAAAAAATTTAAAAAGAAAAGAAAAAGAAAAGGCAGGTGAGTTGTATGAACCAAGGGAGAAAATGTGCACAACAGTGAATTTTCCTACACAGTAAAATGTATGCATTCTAACTACAAGCAAATATATTAAATGCGGAATTAAATCTCTGAAGAGGAAAATTATATTGAGTAAGCAAAACTTTTCAATGGATTAAAAAACAAATGACAGTAAATATTCTGGTTAACCCTAGAAAAAAGGAAAAAACTATGAATAACTATAGAGGTAAATGAGGGACCGTTCTTTCTTTACATGTTAAATGGTTTCATACCATAGCACTGCCTTTCCTCTTAGAAGAAAAAGAATGCATCTAGGAGTTAGAAGTGGATTTCAATTTGCCTGAACAATTTTTGCTATTGTTAATTTTTTACCACTTCAGCAAAGGGTCAACTTCTTAGCCAATCCATATATTTTTTTAAAAAGTACAGTACATAATATTCTAACTTCAGTCTTACTTTTTAAAGTAGAAACAGGAGAAAATTTGAAAAATCAATTCCTTTTCTGGAAACATGCTTTACATTCCTTTTAAGAATCAGTCAGAACTAGATTTCAATTTGGAAAAGGAAGGACATCTACATTTTTATAGTTTAATAGTCTATCCATTGGTCTAAAGGAAAGTAGATATAAAGTATGATGAATTGTTAAGGACAACATTCCTAAGGGTAAAAAAATGAGTTGTATGAATACTATTTCTAAATATAAAATTATACACACATATACTTCACTCATTTATATTAAATACATTTCTTGAGAATCTAATGTCTATGTGGCAAGCACTTTTACACATACTCTGGATAATGAATAATGCAGGCAAAATTAGTTGTTTACAAAGCTTGCATTCTCTACCTTCCAACTTTAAGTAAACAGAGATGACTAAAATAAACATCCAAGATGCCTACATGAAATATGGAAAACATTTTCTTAGGTCAATGTTCATACAATTTATAGAGTCATAAAATAATCTATGAAGAATATGGTTACATGGAGATGAACTATCTCATATAAATCAGTAACAAAAGAACAATACATTTTCCCATAATGAACTTAGTCCGCTGAACGAAAGGATAACTCCAGAACCCCAAGCATGAGTTTATATTTTAATTTCCCCCACGGCCCTGACAACCTAAAAATGTATGCACCTATTTTCTTCTTAACAATACAACTAACAATGTGTTGAAAATTTTGTCATGGTAAGATATACAGATTTTTGAAGGTTTTTCTAAATAATTTATTTCTAAATTTATATATAAAAATAATACATGTTAAATGGTACTGTGACGTTTTGATACATGTACACATTGTGTAATATTGAAATCAGGTTAAGCATATTTATCCTCAGATATTCATCATTTATATTGAAAATATCCAAACTTATTTCTTTTTGAAATGTACAGAACATTATTGCTATTTACATTTACCCCACTGTCCAAGAGCACACCAGAAATTCTTGCTCCTATGAAACTGTCACTTAGTACCTATTGGTGACCTTTCCTATCACTCTTACGCTTTGTGGCCATCTCTATAACCACCTCAACAATCACCATTCTACCTTCAACTTCTTTGAGATCAATTCTTTAGGATTCACTTAGGAGTGAGATCACATAGCACTTGTTTTGTTTTTATTTTCCTGGCTTATTTCACTAAACAGTGATCTCCATTTCCATCTTTTTTGTTTCCAGAGACAGGATTTTATCTTTCTTATGACCTTTGCATATGTATCTCATTTTCTTTATCCATCCATCCATTGATGAGCACATAGGTTGTTTCTAGAAATCTATTTAATATGGAATGCATAGTAGTTGTTATTGCACAATATGCAGATTGTCCCAAAAGAGTTAAAGACATCGTATTCAGTGCTATATGCTTATCCATGTTTATAGCAGCCACATTCATAATACCTAAATTTTGGAAGCAGGTTGTATGTCCATGAACAAATAAATGAATAAAGAAAATGTAATGTTTACACATAATGGAGTACTACTCTACCATAAAGATAAACCTGAGTCATTCACAGAAAAATGGATGCACCCCAAGACCATAATTTAAAATAAAATAAATAAAAAATGCAAGCTTAAATATCATTGTTCTCTTATATGAGAAATTAAAAATATAAAGAGCAAAACAAAAGATGGATAATAAGAAGTAGGGAAATAAATGTTTCTCAGGCAGGAAGGGGAAAATGGAGGGAGGGAGGGAGAAGGAGAGGAAGAAAAGAGGTTAAAAGAAAGGAATTAAGATGTGTTATTTACAGGATCCAACTCCACACAAGGAGTGTAAATATTATGTACTGCACACATGGGCTAATAAGAAAAAAAAAGTCTAGGGCTCCAGTCTCAATTACAACTTACTGTAGTGTGAATTTTGTCATTTGTGAGATACCTCAGACATTCATTTTCATCTCTTCTTTCTAATTTATTCTTAGGATAACAAAGTAATGAAAACTTTGTAAGTTCTGCACTACTATGTAAATGAAGATATATAACACTAAAGTATTTGCATCAGCTAAACAGACTTTTAAAGTCAATCGAGATGTCAAAGCTGATTATCAAAGAGACATTTTTAAATGCTTACCTGTTCTCTAATCATTTACTAGCTTATTTTGCTCTTTTAGAAGAAACAAAATCAAATATACTTGTTCATAAAATTCGAAAGAGGAAATTTTAAAATGGAGTGCAATGGTTTATAAAATACTAGAGAGTTGGTTCAAAATATGACAATTGCTTATTGGATAGTTCTTTATCATATTACAAACTCTGGCCTTACCAGCATTATAGAACCTCCAACTCACAAGTAGCTAAAGATTTATTACATCTCAACATTAAAAGGACAGTCATTGTGGTAGATGCTACAGGTATAATGACATACTACAGATAACATGACATACTAGAAGAAACATGGACTTTGGCCTTTTGGTATTTATACTGTACTGGCAGATATTACCTGTTAGCATTAGAAAGAAAAAAAAACAAGAGTAGAATGAGGCTGGAGTGAATTTATTTCAAAATTATGATGACACCTCAGAAGGCAAGGTGTTCCAAAATATTAGTAATTACTAGTGTTCCTTTGATCTCTTACCTTGCAAGAGTTCCTGTACTTGGTAATGTTCAACTTGAATTAGAGCTAAGGACCTAGCACTGATTGCACACTTTGTATTTTATAAAACTTCAGAGATCAATGATCAAAGGAATAACTCATAAGTCGGTCTTTATCTGGAAACAGCTTATTACATATCTTCATTATCTGGGATAGAATGCCTTGAATTGTAAAGGCGTTGTGTTAAAAATATCTGGTCCTCTGGCAGTCTGCTCCAAGACACGAAGCAAAATGCATCCACTGTCCCTGCTTTGACAAGGCTTTCAGTCAGCAACCTGCCAACTCTGTTGGTGGACACACTGCCAAATAGCTTCACAGTAATAGAGCATCTTCATGCGTTCCGTTCTTTTCAACATTAAAACGGAAAAAACGCTGAGCAAAACCCCTTAGCATTCATTGTTTTTAGGGTTACTGTCTGCTTTTTATGTCTCTATTTCCATTCTTTTTTTCAGTTTACTTTTTTTTATCTGTTTTCCATGATAAAAAGCACCTCATTCATTTCCCCCTGGAAGGGCAACGCTGCTCCAAGGGAACATCTGTGAGGCCAATTAGCTGGGCTGGAAATGTGATATAATTGTTGTTTAAATATATTTAAATTACATGTTAATCACTATGTCATAATTTATAGGCTTTGAAAATAACTTTTTGTACTTCAGAGCCAAGCCAGATTTTACTTGTTTTTGCTGTTTTTAGCTCACAACAAGCTCATCTCATTCCTCTCTCCCTCAATGCCCTACACTTGAGGAGCTCAACTTTTAATACTGGGAAGAATGACAGCTGCAAGTAAATTGGCTGAGTAAAAATTAAGATCCTCACCACGGCCAAAATGAGCTCGAGTGACCTTAAAGTTCCGAGCAGAACAAAGCAAGGCTCTCAGTTAAAAGGCTTTTGTTTTTCCATTGTGCCACTCTCCGCTGTCCATCAAAGCCCAGCTTTGTGGATCTTTCTGAAGCAGCCCTGGGTGCATGTGTTCAGTTAGCTGGCAAGGGGATTTGCTGTCAGCAGGACAGAGACAGAAAGAGGTGGGTTATGAACTGGCAGGTGATACGGAGCTTGCTCCTGGTGGGGGATTTGTAAGGGTGATGAACAGAGTAGAGTTTAATTTTGCGGCCATATCACTGGGACATTATATGGTTTACTTGAAAGCAAATGCCAGAGGTTTTAGAAAAGTTGAGCACAAACGGTGATGAGGGCACTTTAAAATATATTGTGCCCCAATATTCACTTTAGAGTTGAATGATAAATATTTGAATGTTTGTCTCATTCCAGGTATGGTATATTTGTATTTTTAATGATGTCTCAGATAAATTTTTGACAGATTGTGCTCTGAGATAGTTTTTTAAATTATCACACAAATATATCTTCTTAGGAAACAAAAATTGTACTTGTCTAAAGGACTAATATCTATCTAAATTAAATATGTGTTTAATGAGTTTTTTTAACCCTTGGGTAGTTGTTACTCTAAATAATTACTACAGGATTATAGTTTATTTTCTACCTAATAACTACTAAGAGTACTCAACCTTTTTACCCTCAGGTACATATATGCCTAGCATTCTGAAAGACATTGCCATATTTTCTGAGGTCAGATAACTGCTTGGACAAAAGTTTTTTGCACTATGTGAAATCACTGATGCATTGTTATAACTGCATCTTTCTCATAAATGAATTCACATTCCAGTGCTTTGAGATATCTGGATTTAGAATATTCATTTTGCAAAGTGCAACCACAAGAGAAAAAACAAGTGTTCCCATAAGGACCTCAAACTAATAAAGCAGGGGGGAGCCTATGAGATTTCATTAACTGATATAAATATCT